TTGTCGACAGGTATGCCCCCTTGCACGTCAGAGACCGCCTAAAAAACAAACGTCTACAAATGAAGGCAGTATTCGTATGTTCGTTGTAATTGCAGCAGCCTAGCAACATGCATTGCGGTCCGATGGCGAATTACACTCGTGCTCAAAAACTATGCCGGTAACTGCCAATGCACTTAGGTCATAGGTGAGGAGAGGAAGGGTTATGTCATGTCAACATCATAGAAATGGCTTCATCTGAGCTGTGCCTATTGTACATAATTCAACCTATCTATGCATTTCGTTGCTTGCAATCTACTCATGCTTTCACTCCAGCTTCAGAGTAATCATCCCATATTGTACGTCTTAAGATATTGATTTCTATGGCGGTTTGCAATTGCTAGCCACGTCTCACCTCAGTTTGGTGGCCCCGGATCGGCCCACTCGGCCGCTCTAAAATTGACTTACGGAGGAGGATGGTGGCTTTTATTTTAGCTTCTCCGCTGACTGCGGGTAGCGCCGTCGCCGAGGTAGGAGCAATAATTAGCTTATGTTTGGGACTAATTTCCACGCTTAATTAACATTTTAATGTTATTTTAATTAATTCATGTTAACCTTTGACGCATTCTCTTTCTATTGATACCATCCACCGGTCTGAGAATAACTGCCTTGCTGCGTAAGGGCTGGTAAAAGATCACGCTGTTAGGGGTATCTCTTCAACATGGGGCAGGAGCAATAAATAGAGCGCTCTAATTTTAGCTTATTTCCCTGGTATGTCACCAACTGATAACAAACCAAGAGCACGCGATGATTCGCTCAATACACGGCTATTTGCCCGCCCTCCAAATGTCGCAAGCGCGGCGTAATAGTAGCCGTAGTGCTACCATATCCTAAATTTCCCGCGTTTCTCCGAAGTAAAGGAAACTCGAAGTGATAACGCCGGTCGCCAATATAGATAGTCCTCGGGCCTCGGGCATGAAGCTACTTATTCTACCACCAGGGCATTGTATGTACCGTGTACGCGAAAGAAAGCTGGATCAACAGCGAGATGAGTGTTGCATGGATCATCAGTGGGGATGACGGTTTTCGCATATAGCAATCCACTGCGTATTTCAATAGGAGTGCGTGCCCGTGAGTTGACAAGACCGGCTGCGGGGCCTTGGGCTGCGGAGTCGGAGTCGTAGTCGGAGCTGGAGACGGTCGGAGTCGACAATTCTACCCGGGGTCAGAGTTGGAGTCGGAGTCACTAAAATCTTACCGACTCCGACTCCGGAGTCGGAGTTAACGCTGCATGGTTCAACGTCATGCTCTCAAGTCTCAGCTCGGCACCAGTTTGCTTGATGATACTGTGCAGATTTCGTCAAAAGAAGGCCGGTTACTGTATTGGACTAGCGTTTCAGCGAAAGAAGCAGAAAACGGCGGATTCATCGGAACCTGCTTTTTATGCTGCATGCTATCTGTAAACCACATATGCAATGCAAGGCCTTGGTACGCATAAAATATCGTTTCAGGTAAAATAAAAACGTATTCACAATGCAGATTATTACCTCGCCCGCAAATGCCATTTTCCCATCCTAGAACGCACATGGGAGGGGGTGGGGTTGCCACCCCCCCCCCCCGCGCCATTTCGTTCCTGTTGGAGATAGAGCTTCGCGGTAACGACCAAACATATTCTTTGGGAAGAGACGAATCCAATGGTACCCAGTTTTACCTTCTCAGGTCAGTCATTGACCTTCCAGGTCAGGGCAAAGTAAAAAATGTTGCTGTTTTGGGTAACCGTTGGATATCAAGTGCGCTGCTCATCATACACCGATGACGATGCCGAATGGTGGTGCCAAGCCAGCTAGAATCTCTTTGTCACACTATCCGACCAGATTTTTTGCTGCTGAAGTCATTTCAGGTCAAGTTAGGTCAAGGTCAATGATATGTGTTTGTATGTCTGTGTGTGTCTGTGTGTGTGCACCGATTGTTTATGTGTCCATATTACATCAGATCATGAAATGAGAAGCTTTTATCAAAAATGCAGTCAAAGAAACTTCACGAAAAGTAAATTCAGCTTGCCTAAAACACAATGTTTTCAGATGACCTAGGTTGACCTTGACCCTGACCTTGACATCTGTACAGCCCACCGCTAAAGTAATGTAGGGTTTTACCAATCTCAACGGTTGGCTTTGACTGGCGATTGTTTAATGCGGAGTGATCGAAAAGAAGATGTCAATGGCTAAAGTTGCAGCTGCAAGGGTAACGATACATATAAGCTACATTCAAAGTTTCATTGTAGTCTGGCTAATCGTTCCTAAGCTTCAGAAGCAGAACATACCCATGACTGATCACCCACATTACTTTTGCTGTGGACTGTACATCGTCGAACAACATGTTCCATGATAGGTGCGAGGTAAGACTGGCAAAAAAGGCCGAAATCAAGGTGTCAAAAGCTCACAAGACCCATAGCCAACGCAAGGTATTGGATATTTGTCATTTGGGTCATGACATGACCCGAAGAACAAGGTCATATCTCCGAAACCAAAAACCACAAAAACTTGAATTTTTCAGTTGACATCAAGAAAGGATAGAGGAGCAGCTATACGAAAAATCAGCCTTCTAGCTTCAAAAATGTTGAGTGCAGAGCAGAAAACTACCGGGGGGGCAACCCCCCATGTGCGGGCGAGGGTTAACCTTCGCCCCAGTGGGGGGGGGGGGCATATGTTACCACCCTGTCGCGTTTTTCGCGTGTGAATAAAAAACCGCGGCGCGTAGCGCCGCGCCGCTTGGGGTAGCTTTTTGTACATCAATTTTGGACAATGTGTGAAATTTTTGACCCCAGGTCATGTCAGGTCAGGTCACCAGGTCAAGTTAACTGACCAGGCCAAAAAAAAAGTTTGCAATCATGTCCAGCCTGCAGTGTTTGTCAGAAAGGTTTCAAACTTGATGGATTGCATGATGTTATGGGCGCCTACAATTTTTATATCTCGGATTTTTTATATCCGTGACCTAAGGTCAGGTCAGTGGCGTGACCTTACCATTATCAGTCAATGGAGAAAAATGAAAATGCCTCTAGATCCGTGTGTACGCATAGGAACAGTCCAAATTTTTCAGAATCACAATGATTTGGACCACCCGTGACGACCAAGGTGTCGTTTTTGCTGATGGCCTCTAGAAAGGTCATCCGAGGTCATTTGAGGCTACAAACATATTTTTGCCAATAACTCTCGATTGGAAAGAGATAGAACGCTGGGGATGGTCTCATTGTGTTTGTCTTGCCGAGACGCATCGACTGATATGCAACATGACCTTTTCCGGTCAGGTCATGACCTTGACCTGAGGTCAAATTTTCAAGTTGACCTTGCAAGGTCAAATTATAGTTCATTCGATGCGTCTCGGCGAGAGGAACACGATTCTGGCAATAGAAATATCGTGGCTTTTTTTAGTCAAAAGTTATTGTCGAAAAAACACTTTTCATAAAAACAACTATTTTTGGAGTTTTTGCCCTCTGGAGGCTAAACCGTTGACCTGAGGTCAATTTTGATAATAATCTTATCGAAAGAAGAGTTCAAGAGCTATCGATTGCTTTTCCATGCGTTTTTCTAGCTATCATAGTTCTTGAGATAGATGCATGTTTTTGGAAAAATATTATCACATTTGGCAAATTTTGACCTTTGATGACCTCCAGTGACCCCAATATTACTCTAAGATGAAAAATGACCGAAATACTTTCAAACGTACGCATTGAGAGCTATCGATTGCTTTTTACCGCGTCTTTCTAGCCCTCTTAGTTTTTGAGTTAGAGGTGGGTGGTAACATATGCCCCCCCCCCCGCACTAGGGCGAAGTTGGCTGAGACCGCCACTGGGGCGCGGGTTAATATAGGAATTTTGAGAGAAGTATCCGAAGTCGGAGTCGGAGTCGGAGTCGATTTTTGAAGCTGGAGTCGGAGTCACCCGAAAATCCATCGACTCCGCAGCCGAAGACGCTGACCATTTGACCACGTTTGCACCTGAATTTGTAACTTGACCTGAATACGTCAAATGCTCAGTCTTCTTACCGTAAGCATCTTCCTGTTACCGGCCTTCCCGCACTTTTCCCGAGCTACCGAGAATGGGCGGTCATCGACAACCCTACCGTGAAGGAGCTACATTGGAGTAAAGCATTCTCGGGTAATTATTTATTTTCGATTTCGTTCGACTGGTGATTGCTGAAAGATTATTGATGGCATTGGTACTTGGTATTAGGTGATAGGGCGATCAACGCGACCGCCGACCATAAGGCCGATTTCTTACCCTTTTCCAATCTGAGCCAGGGAAGCGAAACATCTGCTCTATCTACTCATAGGGTCGAAAGTGAAACCCACCGCCGTGGCTCGAAAAACTAATGATCTAATGAGGAGGCCGCAAAAGAAGTGTCGTGTTACAGAAACATCAGTAATGAAAAATATATTTTTACCGTACATATCTCGTCAATTGCTCTAAAGTGGATGGAGATTCGAAATGGAGTGGCTAAAGCAAGTTTCAGGTTGAGTCCTGTTAAAATTTTAGTTCATCACAAAAAAAAAAATAGAGGGACGGTGACGAACGAACGCCGAGCCAGTCGTCTCTAGTTATACACAACTCACCAGCCTTGCTTCGGTGGCTCGAGGCTCCACCTAGCCCGGTTGGGTTTAAAAGGCTCGCACGCACATTTCCATTGTGATCTGGCTTTAGACGTACGCACGTTCATAGGTCACTATCATGCTCGCTCGTCCGTCAACCAAAGGAGAACTGGCATTGAGAACACAATAGACCAGTTAAATGACTTGTTTGCAATTGATAACATCAGTAGGGACAAAGTCATATGTAGAGTGCCAAAGCAAGCACTTAAATAACGCACCTTCCATTCATTGTCACCCAAATATTCTGACCGACAAAAAACAAACAAACAAACAAACAAACAAACAAACAAACAAACAAACAAACAAACAAACAAACAAAAACAGCCGAAAAACACGAAACTAATGTCTGACAGCGAGAAAGCAAACTGAGAAACACTTACGCAGCAGTATGTCTCGGCAAAGATGAAGGTCCTCAGTATCCTCAGTTTCGTGTCGGGTGGTCCAAACAGGTTTCTGAACGAGTTGCGTGTCGTCGTGTTGATAAACGGGTCGAAAGCTGAGCAAACACAAAAGGGAACAATAAACGATCACTGACTGATCAGTCAACGACAGCCTATACAAAGAAGTTATCCGCATGCTAGGAGAATAAACCAATGAATGCAACTGGAAACAGGCATTATCTGGTAGGCAGTTACACGGAAATTTCTTTAGTGGAAGGAGACCGTTAAGACAAAAGTAAAAAAATAACCAAGCAATACATAAAACGGTAGCTTCGCATTACTATTCTGGATTCGAAAACATGGCTTTTGGTGGCCTCGATTTAGGCGATAGCAACAGACGATAGTGCGACATTAGCTCGGCCATAATCCTGCAGCCACGGGGAATAGTTCGAATGAAAAACTAACACCGATCAAAAGGTCGCTTTAAAGAAAACTTCTTATAGGTCACAAATCACGTCAACGCTTATAGCTAGAAAGATAAATCCGCAAGCGATATAACGTGGCCCGCGAAAGTTGTGTATGAGAAATTCAATTTTGCACTTTTCGAGCTCACGATGCCTTATACTGACAGAAGTTCAAAGCAAACGAACGAACGAAACCCTGGACACTTGTGATTTGTGAACGTCTCAGATTTGTGCTATCACAAAACGAAACAAGACAGATCCAAATACTTTACTAAGCGAGCACGGATGACAACATATCGCGGACGCTGAACTTAGATATGCTAGCAACCACTTCATCTGACTAAATAACGAGCTGGACAAGCGACTCTCCACTCACCGCAAGTAGGCTTCAGCATGTTGCCTGCCAGGTGCATGTTCCGCATGACCATGCTGATGTCGGTGAGCAGCTCATCCACATCGCCGAACGAGCCGGTCATCTTCTTGGCGATCACAATGAACGGATAGTCCAAAGCCCCGTTGCTGACCATTGCTGTATGGAAAGAGGCAGGGGTGATGCCGGGTCCGCGCAACATGGTGGCGTGGCGGATCTTTGCATGATAGCACGGAAATTTACGATTTTGTAAGACCATAAGCAAGACAAACAAACTTCTGCAATGCAATAGCAGAAATTTTTCATATGGATTAGGTACCAACAAATAGCACAGTAAACATACAGCATAAGTTGAGTATTAATAACTGAATGAATGTAATCGTAAACAGGAATACCGGAAATGTTTGAGAACTACTTACTGTTGAATGGCGATAGATTGCCATGTTTGACATTATGGATCCGAAACTTGGTGATAGCGTTGAGCCAAAATAGACGACCTTGTTCCTTCCACATCGTTCGGACAACATCTTTGTGCTCGGTGTAGTAGTGATACTCGTCGGGGGAGAAAGAACCATCAAATATTCCGTCATCTTCCTTTAGTACTAGTTCCTTCATATTCAACTTCACATGTATCTGAAACAGAGGACAATAACAAACATCAAGACACAAGTTCAAACATAGCTTACACATTGCTTGCTGCATACTGGGCTGATTGGCGTGCCCATTTTTCTGTGCTTACGACGATGGTAAAAGGAAAGCGGTTTTGGTTCGTGGATTTTTTTTTTCTAGCATTGAAGGAAATCTTAGCAACTTTTTCAAGCAGAGTTTGTTTTATTCTGCACAGCATAAGCAGTTAAACTTTTTTTAATTTGAATGAAATCATTTGAGATTCATTTAGCTAAAGGCTTGACAACATATACCCAGTTATAAAATAAAGATATGAACGGCTAAATGTGGGATCATCTCATGCATGCATTTTCGGCGTCTTTCATTGGGTCAACAGTTGTATCGTACCTACATCAATCGTATCGTACCAACAAATCTGATCGGCAAGTCATTCACAGCGGATTTGACCACTTAGCCGCGGCAAAGTGGTGGTCCTCAAGGCCTGGCAGTGCCATCAGCCATGTGCATTTCGCCCTGCCACCGAGGGACAACGCCAAACTCTCACATGAGCCGAGCGCATCTCGTTTACGAATGCTATGGAATGCAACAACCTCAGATTCTTTCGATGCAACTTATTAGCTACGTCGATCATACCCGATAAATCGTTCGTATAGACCCCTTGAAGCGGTGGAGCGGTGATGTAGCCCTGCCATCGGCCGTGCACATCTCGAGTCCCTCCCATCGCCCTGCTCATCACTCTACCGCCGGCGCCTCACAGAGCCGTGCGGTGCGTTTCGTGTCGTGGTAACAGTGCGAAGAGTGCCAACTTGCGGGCGACCCACGTGATTGATGGGACCACCAGCACTGACACAGTCGTTCTGACCACTGCACACTACCTACTGAATTACACATCAAAGCTCCAACATTGTTTTTCTTCGATTTCCTAATCTATCTCGTCTGGTCGTCATGTCTGTCGCTAAGCCAATTCCGCACCGGACTACACTAATCCGCACCGCACCAAACCAAAATCTGCACCACGCTGCACCAAATCTGCACCAGCCGAACAAGCCCGCACCGAGGAGTTCTCGTCGAAATTGCCATAGTTTGCAGACTGGCCCTACATCATACATGGGTCCTCAGAGAATATGGGCACCAGTGGGCAGTGAGACTCTCAGAGGCCCATGGGTTGGGCCCTCTGAAACTAGTTTGGGATTCCTTCTTGGAGTTCAGTGGGGCTCCTCAGTAGCCTGCGTGGAAAGCTCATGACCCCTGCAGAACTTGATTCGTACTTGAGTCGATGACTAGAGTTGGGAAAGACCCCGAATCATGGCCCCAAATATTTTGCATCCAGCGTTGAACAAAGGTTTTGTGTCAGTATTTACACAACCAGTGAAAATTGAAATTACCTTACCTTACCTTCAAGGTGTTCGGGTTAAAGAAGGCCACTTGGCCTGAGGATTCCGCTCTCATCGAGCTCGTGAGGATGTACATACTGGACTCTTAGGGGAAGGGGATGTCATACATCTGATCTTGTTCTTCCAGTGTTTGTCCAGTCGCGCCTTTAATTGGTTTACCGACGTCGCTGACACCACGGAGTCTGGGAGTGCGTTCCAGTCGTTGACTATTCTGGTACTAAAGGAGTTTCTGCGCACAAGTTTTCTAGTTTGTGGTTTGTCCAGCTTCCACCTGTGTCCTCTTGTCCGGTCAGACTCGTTCCGTGTCAGAAACTCCTCCGGTGTCAGCGCCATGTCTCCGTGCAGCAGCTGGTACACGGTGATCATGTCTCCTCGGCGGCGGCGATAGAACAGTGAAAGCATTCCGAGGCTATGTAGTCTTTCTGGGTATGACAAGTGTCTCACGGACGGGACCATTCGGGTCGCCCGGCGCTGAACTCGTTCCAGCCTCTTCTGGTTGCCTATACTGAATGGTCCCCATATCGTGTTACCGTATTCCAACAACGGCCTGACCATAGCATTAAAAAGCAATGGTAGCGTGGACTCGTTGATGATCGCAAAAGAGCGTCTCACTACAGCCAGGGTTTGAGTTTTGACGAGCTTTTGACTCGGCCGCTGATGCCTTCGCTTCAATCGGGGTACCGTGCAGCGTGTAGGTCAGGTTTGGATTGTGATGGCCAATGCGCATTACCTTGCATTTGGCGAAATTGAGCGAAAGCATCCAATTCCGAGACCACTCACCAAGCGCATCAATATCGGCTTGCAGGCCCACGTCATCCTGGTTGCCCACCATCCGACGGTAAATTTTCGTGTCGTCGGCGAAGAGCTTGATGTGACTGGAGACTTCCAGGGGCATGTCGTTCACGAAGATCGTGAAGAGGACTGGCCCGAGGACTGAGCCCTGTGGTATGCCGCTGAGGAGTGAGGACACTCGTCCATTGCGATTTTGAGCCTTGGATCACGACCCTTTGTCGGCGATCGAGCAAAGAGGCCTTGATCCAGTCAAGAAGTTTGCCTCTGATGCCGTACGCTTGAAGCTTGTGGATCAGCCGGCACGGGGCACAGAATCAAACGCTTTGGCAAAGTCGAGGTAGGCTAGTCCACCGGGTCGCCGTCCTCCATGGATGCACTCAGGTGCTCCATCGCCTCCATGAGTTGGGTGGTACACGACCTTTGTGGGAGGAATACATGTTGGGAGCTAGTGAGGCTCACAGGACGGTAATTCTCTGGTTTTTGACAGTCTCCCTTTTTAAAGATTAGAATTACCTCACCTAATTTCCAGTCCGGAGGGAGCTGTCCCGCGTCTAGGGTAAAATTGTGCTGAGTGTGGTACTCAGAGTGTGTGATGAATCCCGGAGCATGCGAGGGTGGATGGCGTCTGGTCCTGGCCTGGGGAGCTGTCGGGTCGAAGAGTGTGGCTGTATTTTAGCTGTAAAACCTAATAAAGAACCAACTCAGAAGTATGATCATTGATTGAAGCAGTGCCAAACCTGTGCCTGTTATTTACATGCAATGCTGCTTCCTGATACCTACCTACCTACCCAATGTCTTGAATAAGTCATGCAAAATAACCTGAACTTACCTTAAAATTGTTGTGATTTCCAATCAAAATAATGCTATGTGTGTTTCTCTCTGTGTTTCTCTCTCTTCCCTCTCTTCCCTCTCTCTCTGTTATGGCCCAAGGCCGCGTATAAGTTGTTATGGCCTAGGTTTTTTACAGTTATTTTTTTCACCATAAGCGTGTCCCTCAAGATTATAGAAATTAGTCTATTGATTAATAGATTTTACTTTGCTGTGACGTCATCAGCATCTTCAGTGTTGATCCCAAGATACCTATGAATCCTATAAGAAACTTGAACTATTTTGACATAGAAATAAAACTTAAAAGAAGACTTTAAAGAAATAAAGTCTTCATATCAATGTATTTGGACCGAACCATAGACATGCTATCTGTACTATCTGTGCCATCTATGCCCATAACAAAATAGTTTTTTCATTGTTTATTATATTCGCTGAATCTATCATTAAACATGGCCTATTGGTAAATTTCATTTTCCTTACAAATGATATAAGAAATTCGTGTAAAAAATAGCAAAAGATGCGTTAATTTATATCCATACCTTGTTATTAAATAGTAGCAGCGTTTTAGCGCAACAAGGCTAGGGATTTATAGAAACCTTGATGGTGTTTTGCATCGCATTCGCCCAAGATCAAGATGGCGGGGGAGGTTTGGGCCGAAACTAATGTCGATTGTGATTTTACGGAAAGAAGTAAAATGGGTCGGCCTGAAACCGATGAAAGGCTCTCTCAAATTTATCAGGTAAGATTTGATTTTTCACTAAATAGACTTTTCTGTGATTCCCTTTCCACTTGATTCAAAATGTCCAAGCATTTTGCTGATGCAATACCTAGCTTGAGGCTTGATTTTGAACACCCATATGGCAGTAATCGTAATTACTAGGCATTTGAATGGAGAATATTTTGGTTACCTACAATTTATTAGTTATGATACATTTACTGGATTATGAGTTTCTCAAACATCAGCCTCTGCAGTCGGACCCTAGCTAGGCCGTTAACGCCTGTCACTATCAAAATCGAGGGTCACTAGTCGCAAGCAAATGAATGGATCCTGGGGATGCCTCACATCATGTTTATACAAACATTGTGTTTTTTGGCTGCTCTAGCAACAGTATCTTTTCAAAATACCCCAATTAAAAAGTGAGTACAGCTCATGGCATCTCCTTGACCCACTGGCCACTGGCGTAATTTGTGATTGACACTCATTGGCAATTGGCATCAGTCTGGAAGTGTAGCTAGAGAGTTGGTTGTTTGGGTTTGAACATAGTGGGCGTTTGAACCAGTGCTGCTGGCTGCGGAGTGCGGAGTCTATGGATTTTCTAAATCTGACTCTGGCTTTCAAAAGCCAACTCTGACTCTGACTCCAGAGGGCTGTTCACGGGCCCTGTGTGCGGTCGGACCGCACACAGCCTCGAAGCTCCGCCCACTTCGTCCCTACGTCAGCCTTCCGTCACCGCACACAGCGATCGCTGTGGCCGGTCGGGACGGGCCACAGCGGACCGTCCACCGCACGCAGCCGTGACGTCAGAGCCGCCTACCCATCCCCTACCCCCACACCTGCTGGACGCACCGCACACACCGCAAGCAGCAGTGTGCGGTGCCCGTGAACACCCCTCAGGCAGAACTGTTGACTCTGCCTAACTCTGACTCCTCAGCCCTCCTGCCATGTCTGCAGAGTCAATGGATTTTTGGTGGCTTGAACACCGGTTCTGGTTTCCAAAATCAACTGACTGGTTAGCAATGTTGACTGATGCTCACCGTAGCAGATAGGAAAGAGGCATAGGGAGCAGATGCTCATGGGATGCTGCCTCTTCTCAATGTCATATGACGGTCATATCTGTTTTTCTGACACTCATATCTGTTTTTGAGAACTCTGACAGACTCGGGCTCAGAATCAACAACCCTGGTTTGAACAACCTCCACAGCTTTTGGCCAGTCTTGTCATAATCTTTTCTGCACATGTTCTGAATTCTCCAGGCCCAGGTCTCCCAAGGTCATGTCACCAGGTCATGTCAAGTGGCCACCTCAGAAAAAGTTCCTATGTTTGTGATAGCTACACTGTTTAACAAATCACTTTGAAACTTTCAGCAATTGATAGGGGTAACAGTAACAGTATGTTTTATTTTGGTATCAGTGATATAAGGTTAGGTAATTTTTGTTACCTATCCATTTTAAGTCCACAATATATTTGAAATGTGAGTCTTTTGGAGTTTGGACATACATTAGGTATTTAAACTCAACCACCAAGCTACAAATAAACATGACACACTCAACTGAAAATTTTTCCTGTGACCCCCTGTTATGTCCCTGAGGTCATCTCAGGTCACAAAAGTTATGTGACAGTTTTTGCTTTTGATAGAGGCATGCTAGAGCGATGAAAACACCTTAGATGTGTTCAGTTGGCAGACACGGATCGACCAAACGCACATCACGGCGGGCCACGTCTTTTTCCAGTCAGGTCATGACCTTGATCTTATGTCAAATTTTCAACACGACCTTTCTAGGTCAAATTATAGATCATTTGATGCGTCTTGACCAGGGATGCGGAGCCGTGGAAATTTCAGATGGCTCCGGCTACGGCTCCGGCTCTGGAGAAAAACACCGACTCCGGCTCCGGGTGAAATGTCATGGCGGCTCCGGCTCCTGCTCCGGCTCCGAGTAAAATAGTCCGGGTCCGGCGGCTGCTCCGGCTCCGACTCAGTACATCCCCTATGCGATCAATTAAAGGGACCCTCCCACCTTCAAAAAAGTTAATGAATTGGCATGAAAGTGATGTCGCTCGGTTCAGAAAGAGCAAAAACGAATATCTACCAAATTTCATCGAAAAATATTCACCGGTTTTCAAGATATTAGACTTTTACTTTTGCTTACTTTTGGGGATCTCCGCTGTTCCTAGCGACTTTATTTGAAAGTGCGGCATTTGTTGCGCGCAAAGCAACATATACCACCGCGTGCTACAAAACGTTTTAGTCAAACATTTAACGGACGTTCGAAAGCCTGATGACGTCATCAGATTCCCGTAATGGTTAAGAGATAGGGACCACGCTGGTCCCACCCTGCAAGTAAAGGGAAGAAATTTCTTGAACACCATAAAGCTGCGGGGGTTGCGACCAAGATAAATGGTGGTTTCTGAGTCTGGCCGCAAACTTGGCTATCTCAACTCAAAACTAATGTTAAGGTGGGAGGGTCCCTTTAAATACGGATGGAAGAAAAAAAAGTGATTGGATTGGTTCACACTGCTTCCGTGTTTGCATAACAGGGCTATTTTCTCAACAGCACATGCAATCAGTTTACAGGCAGGGTACCTATATAAGCACGCGGCGAAATGTGATTTATATGTACCTATCTTTCTCAGAAAGGAATACTCTAGGCATTAATGGCCGGAATCAGGAAACAGGGACGGGAGAGATGGTGCTGGGAGTCGCAGTCCACTGCACTGGCTTCAAAACAATGGCCGTCACCTGATGACCGGTCCTCAGGTTCTGGTGATACAGTAGACGTGGGGAGGGAGGACCAGACAGAAGGTTGATTGCGTACTCAGGGACACTGGGGATGCGTATTCAGTTTTTTTTTTTTCATTCACGTGATGGCCCATGTCGTACCACATGTTTTACTGCCTTTTACTGTCATACCGAACTAGGTAGGTCAATTAATTTTTCCTCTTAAAAAATGAGCCGGAGTCGCCCCCTTCTTTGATAGCTACGGCTCTGGCTCCGGGCTTTATTGTTTCACGGCTCCGGCTCCAGCTCCGGGCAAAATGTGTCGGCTCCAGCTTCACACCCCTGGTCTCTGACAAAAGGACCACGGTGCTGGTAAACGTAAGCTCACGCAAAAAAAAAACAGCTTTTGCAAAAATAGTCTATTTTGGCAGCTTTTACCCCCTGTAAGCTAAACTTTGATCTTATGGTCAAACTTGAGGCAATTACTCAGGAAGTGTGTTAACAGGGCTATCAAATGCACTTTGCTGAGGTTCTGCAGTTCCATTAGTTTTCTAGTTGTTTTTTAAGATAAATTTAGCTCGAATGTTTGAATAGACAGATTGACAGAGCCTGGGCCCACGCTAAGCAGAGCTTGCTGCATAGACCCCGACCCCTACCGTCCGATGGCGCAATTCTGGGTAACGGGAGAATTTAGATGCCAAAGTTAAACGTGCCCTTCAAAACCAGGCACGGCCTATCCCACTCAACTGACTTCACCTGGCTGCGGCTACTCCCACCAACCGCAGACCATCCCCGTCAGGAGTCTCAAATATCGATCTCCGGAGCGACTCAAACCCGGGTCTCTATACCGGGATTCCGATGCTCTACGAACTGAGCTACGGGACAGCGAAATCTCCTAGGCCGTATGTAGGCCGGTTTGTAGAAACTCGTTGAAACAGGCGAAATTTGACCTTGATGACCTTTGGGGACCTGACCTTTTGCGTACCTAACCTAAAAAATGACCGAAGTAATTTCATCATTATTTTTACGATCTTTCGAACGCCACCTACTGCGTGTCGCTATGCGGCTCAAGAGCCGAATTAGAGGCGGGGGGGGGGGGGGTCAAACACCCCATTCCATTTTACCCCAGCAGGCGTGGTAATCCAGGAGTCTCAGTAGGGCACAGGTTAATGACTTATGAAATGTAAGACGTTATTATGATGAGCGTCCTTTATTATGTCCTCTGATTGTTACATGTGTTGGATTGCTACCATTGTATGTATGTACCTGGGATCGCCCCTGTGTCGGCGACCTGCCGGTGGAGCTATTTCTGCCGTGCGGAGCCTAGTCTGGGCTCGCCACGGCGCCGCCGGGACGATGGCCGGCCAACCGGTCTGCTTGTGGCCTCAGGGCGAGCCAGTCAGGCCAGCCAGTCTGTAACATGAGTGGAGCACTCGCAAATATCAACCGCAATGGCCACGACCCTTTCAGAGGAACCGACTTACCGGATAGTTGCAAATTCAGACCAATCATTGTCGCTATGTCTTTTCTTTACAGTCACTGGAGACCGTACTAGAGAAGGCCGGCTCAGTCTACCCTGATAAAGTGGGAGCTGTGACATCATCATGGGCAGAAGTAGCGAAACTGCCCGGCCCAGCGGTCGACTCGGACAATGATGGACCCCTGAAGCTCATCCAGCACCTTCACAGGTCAGTGGAACATGTGCATTGTGCATGTGCATTGTGCAGCTTCTATGTGAGCTCTAGCTGTAGCGTGTCTGGGTCAGACACGCCAAACATCCTAACATTGTGCATGCGTTGTTGGTCAGCAGTGAATACTGTTCGTTCCTGAAAGTAATGCATCATTTTAGTGAGAAATAAATGAGTTTGTTTTGTGTTTCCACCCTGATATCAGATGCCGTTTGCCACTGCCTCTTATGGCACTCCGCACTGGACCAGCAGACAGTTTTTTTGGTGTTCCATTTCTGTGATAGATAGCTGTGCTCCCTGGCATATTGACACTAGAGCTGACTGAGTGACTGTGCTCTTTGACAAGCTGACTCTGCAGGATGTAATGTATTTAATGCATTTGTATTTACATTTAAGAGCGATCCACATACAAAGTGCGTGGCGATTACTGCTCAGGTTGACTGGTTAGCTGACTGTCCTCCCTGGCAGGCTGACGCTGGAGCTGCTGCTGCGCGGCGAGTGGGCGGAACTGCCGGTGGAGCGCCGCTCCGAGCTGCTGGCGGCAGTGTCCTCGGCCGGCAGCGCCGTACCGCTGCCCGCCGTACAGGCCGTCTGCAGCCAGGTGCAGACCCTGGCAGACGGACCGTGGCAGCAGCCCATTCTCAAACAGCTAATGGCCAAGGAGACCGTCACAGACGAGCAGGGTCAGTTACAGGGCTTTAAAGTTGGTCTGTAGCTGGTGAGAGAGCTGGCTTTGAAACTACCCATTCTTCGAGTTTTTGGTGATAGTTAATTTTTGAGCTATGGAGCAGGGAACGGGTGGGTGTTTTCAGCAATACTGTGAACTAGTGTTCAAAGAAAAATACTTCTGTTTGAGGAATAACGACAAAGGGTCATCGCATCTGGTAGTGAATAAATACACTTCGATCCGATTCCTTGCAGTCGTCGCAGGGTGTGTACTTCACGGTTTCCGTGTGTTTTTCCCAGCTCTGGAGCTGTGCTGTACAGAGCAGCCCGACCTTCTGACGCTGCGTCTCCAGACTCTGTGCGAGTCGCGCTGTGAGGACCTGGCGCTGGCCCTGGTCCGCCTGTGCCACAGGTAGGTCTAACGAACCGGCCTGGTCCGCCTCTGTCACAGGTAGGTCGGACTGACCCTCCTCCACTGGTCCGTCTGTGTCACAGGTAGGTCGAACTAACGCTCCACTGCAGCGGACCAGTGCACTGGTCCGCCTCTGTCACAGGTAGGTCTAACGAACCCTCCACTGGTCCGCCTGTCTGTCACAGGTAGATCGAACTGACCTTCCATTGGTCCGCCTCTGTCACAGGTAGGTCGGACTGACCCTCCACTGGTCCGCCTCTGTCACAGGTAGGTCTAACGAACCCTCCACTGGTCCGCCTGTCTGTCACAGGTAGATCGAACTGACCCTCCACTGGTCCGCCTCTGTCACAGGTAGGTCTAACGAACCCTCCACTGGTCCGCCTGTCTGTCACAGGTAGATCGGACTGACCCTCCACTGGTCCGCCTCTGTCACAGGTAGGTCTAACGAACCCTCCACTGGTCCGCCTGTCTGTCACAGGTAGGTCGAGCCATCCCTCCCGTCAGAACTGCCCTGGTCCGGAGTCTCATGTAGTTGGGTTGGAATAGTGCCTTCCTTGTCTCCTCTGTTACATGTATTTGGACCTCTCCGCCACCCTGATTCGTTACCGACGGAGGTAGTTACAACATCCTTCCTCTTCCCGGTTCCGCCACGAACTGGCACAGGTAGATGAGTAAAAATGAGGTTGCGTTTGATATCTTTTAATCGTCATTTGTTTCTGTTAGATGAAACTCGGACCTACTGCCTTGGGAGCTTACTTATTTTTTGTTGTTTTCAGGTGCCGAAATATGGCAGACGGCGTGTTCAACAAAATGTGCTCTGATGGACACAAGCTATTGTTTTTGGATCTCTACATTGCTCTCCTGTTCAAGTACAAAGAAAAGGATGTCATCATCACTTTGGTAAGTGATGATGAGATAATGCATTAAGTGATGAGTAAACAATGAGATGAGCTTTGGTAAGTAAACAATAGTAGTCTCGGGTTTTTAAAATGTCATGGAAGTCATTCAGCATTTTGGTAACCAACTGCAAATGGCATATAGGTAATATCTCAAAATCCAAGTGGTGTATTATTTCACAAGATGATAATTTAACTGATGTAACTGTGTCTATTCTTGTTGATCATATTCACCACTCACACATCAGCCTGTTTCAGTAGATTCCATCCCTCTCTCGATCTCGTCAATCTCCTCTGACCGAAGCCCCCTCCCCCCCCCCCCCCGTTCGCGGCAGCTATCGGACCTGGACGGCGCGGCGTCCGTGGGCCTGGTGCGCCGGTTCGTGGCGCGCCGCCATGAGTGCCGCCAGCGCATGTGGCGCCAGGCGGCACGCGTGGCCGCCTTCCTAGCTCAGCTGGTGCTCGTCCAGGCGCTGCTCAGACCCGACGACCAGCACGTCTGGTGAGTGTGGGGGCTGCCCGCGGCGCTTGGTATGTGGTTGAGTCGAAGGGTTTGGTGCTTGTGGACTTTATGCTGCACGGTAGGTGAGCGCTAATCTACCGCAATTCTTTGACATATTTATAGATAATTTGTTTTTAGCTTAAGTTAGTTACTATTTGCCAACTTCCGTTGTAAGTTAAATTTCAGACCGCCCGCCGGCATGACATTTTCGGCCTTATCCGATCATTTCTGCTAATGACGTGGACTTGTCACGCTCCGACAAACCAATTATTTTACAATTATAATCGACAACCCTTCCACTGATAACAGATGACCTCCGTGGTCGTCACTTTTAAGCTCTGTGTGGCCCAACAGTGACGTTGACCCCTCTGTAAGTTGTGACTTGGCAGTGGTCCTGACGTCTGTCTGTGTGACCCTGCCGTGACCTCGGCTCCTGTTTAACCCCTGAAGACCTGACGGTGGAGTGGGTTTTGACCTCTGTTTGACCCTGCCGTAACCTTTGACCTGTGTGACCGGGCCGTGACCTTTGACCTCTGTGTAACCCGGCAGTGACCTTTGACCTCTGTGTGACCCGGCTGTGACCTTTAACCTTTGTGTGACCCTGCCGTGACCTTGGCTCCTGTTTAACCCTTAGACACTTGACGGTGGAGTAGGTAGTGAGCTTTGACCTCTGTTTGACCCTGCCGTAACCTTTGATCTGTGTGACCGGGCCGTGACCTTTGACCTCTGTGTAACCCGGCAGTGACCTTGGCTCCTGTTTAACCCTTAGACACTTGACGGTGGAGTGGGTAGTGACATTTGACCTCTGTGTTACCCGGCTGTGACCTTTAACCTCTGTGTGACCCGGCTGTGACCTTTAACCTCTGTTGGACCCTGCCGTAACCTTTGACCTGTGTGACCGGGCCGTGACCTTTGACCTCTGTGTGACCCGGCAGTGACCTTTGACCTCTGTGTGACCCGGCAGTGACCTGACGGTGGAGTGGGCGAAGCTGGCGCGGGAGGAGGCCACCACAGCCGGCGACGTTGAACCGATCGCTCGCAGGATCTTCTCCCGGACTGAGCTGGCGTGCCATCTGATCAGCTTCGCCCGCGGTCTCAGCCAGGTGGTGAGTATCGGGAAAACGGAAGAGCAGAGTGGGCTGAATGCATAATATATGTAAGGTAAATATGCGATAAAGGGTATACTTGAGCCGTGATGTGTCTTATCTAGGATATAGCTGTGCTTTGAAGACAATGGTTTGTTGGGGCGTGGCAGACGACAGGATTCGATTATGCCTATCGGGTATTGACACAGATCATACACGCTAATCCCGGCCGCTGATAACTGAATGACTCGGCAGTTTGCTTTCGCCAGATAAGTCAGTATCGACACACCTAGATTTGGCTCCATCACAACTGTGTGGCTCTGTTAGTGCATTATGAGACTGTGTTTGACGCGCGTTCCTCCGCCTGTGTTCGACAGTTTGGCGCCGAGCTGCGGCCGCTGGCCATCGAGATTTGTGTCCGGGCGCTGACTCTGGAGACGAACCGGCTGGAACACCTGAAACTGACCGAGGAGAGCGGTAGTGGCGGCGGGGAGGGCGGCAGTGGCAGTGGTGACAGTGGCAGTGGCAGCGCCGGCGATAAACAGGAGGCCACTCGCTGCCGGCGGGTGCTAGCCTCGGGCCTCTCGTTTCTGGCCGATCTGACGGCTGACAGTCGCCGCGTGAGCCGCGAGTGCGTCCTGTCGGCCTTCTCCCTGGAGCCGAGTGAGGAGGCGCTGCGTCAGCTCCAGCAGCTCTCCGACGAGCCGGACCTGCCTGACTCTCCGGAGCCGCCGGCGCTGGAGGCGGAGCCGAAACGGGAGCCGACGCTGGGGTCTCAGACGGAGCCGAAACGGGAGCCGGTGCTGGGGTCTCAGACGGAGCCGAAACCGGAGCCGGCGCCGGGGTCTCAGGCGGGACCGAACGCGGAGTCGAAAACGGAGCCAAAACCGGACTCCGAGCTGGAGCCGACGCTAGAGTCACGGACGGCGCCGGTATTGGAACCAAAACCTGAATCAAAACCAGACTCCGGGCTGGAGGTGAAGCCAGGGTCGCAACTGGTGCCAGTTTCGGAACCGAACTCAGAGATAAAGCCGGACTCGAGAGCGGCGCCAGAGCCTGCAACAGGCCCTGCTCTCAATCATACTGCCGTTGAGATGATGGAACCGGAGCCAGTACCTGGTGCATCAGCAGAGACTAAGGGCACCAGTGGTGAAGTGAGTGAGGCGGGGACAGTTAGATCCCAGTGCGGTCGGGTGTCGATCGGTGCAGGAGGTGACGGTTCACCCCCGACAGATAAGTGCGGAGGCGGCGTGCACGTGAAGTCTGAACCCTGTGAGGAAGATTCGGCAGTGGCGATGGACAGTGAACCCCCGGACCGGCCGGGCGGGGGCGGTGAGATCACGGACAGTGGACGACCTGGAGCGCAGTCTGCGGCGGGTGGAGTGAAGAGCGAGTGGCGTGGCGCGGCGTCGGACGATGGGGCTCAGGGTAACGACTCTAATGCTGCGTTAGACCTGAGTGATGCCGCCTTCCAGGCATCGGCTGACGGTCTGATTGATCAGCTGCGACACGCGTCTGTGCGGCAGGACAGTCATGAGGGGGAGAAGGCGAGTGAGGTACTGTGTCCACAGCGCGGCCACCCTCCGCCTTACCAGGCTTGTACCGCGGCTCTGCCGTCATACCAGGCTGCCATCGCCTCTCTGCAGTACCAAGCTGGTATCGCGCCTCCGCCGTACAAGACTGTCGGCGCGCCTCCGCAGTACCACGTTGGTACAGTGTCACCGCCACACTACACTGGCGACTTGTCTCACCTTCCGATCTCCAGTCAGCTCACTCCCGCCAATTGTGAGCAGGCGCCATCTCAGAACTCCACCGAACAGAATCACATGAGCCTTGGAGTCAGTACAGAGGAGAACTCGGAGGAAAAGATAGCACAGAGGATAAATCAGCACGCTGACTTGCCAGCGGAGCGTCAGCAAGCCCAGCCTCCAGTTCAGCCGCCCGACAAGCCCCCTGATTTAGTAGCCGAGGGCCATCCGCCCGACTCACCAACCGAGCGCGCGGAGAGTCAGAGCTATGACGTTCTGGCCGACTGCGGACCGGCGCTGGATGCGCTGGGCGTCTCCGAACAGCTAGCCGCAGACCTGGTGGTTGTGCTGAGTAGCACGCGATGGAAGAGACTCAGCTGGGCGCTGGGATGGCGGCGACTGCGCGCACTGTGTCGAGCCTACCTGGCTGATCCCGCCTGTATGATGAATATCACCCGCGATCTGCGCTTCCTCGAGATTGACTACAGCAAGTTCGGAGTTCGTGGCAAGAGTGAGCCAGTGGACGAGTTTCATGGCATCGAGAAGGGGTACGAACGGTTCCTGAAAGGTGGTGGTGGAAGGGCTGTGGGAACTGCTGTGAAGTGTCCAACTAGGGCCACTGGTGACGGCAAAAGTCCAAGAAAAGCTCCACTGAAGGTCGAGAAGGTCACACCGACGCAGGATGTGAAGCCCTCCGTGCCGCTGGCGAACGGTGTCCCCCGTCCTCCGCTGCCGGTGCCGGTGCCTGTTCCGGCCGCAGGGACGCCTGTGAGCGCCACTCCGACCAAAGCCGCTGTTCGCCCTCCGCTGCGACCGCCGCCCGAGGGGAAGCGAGTGACGGCGTGCGGCCGCAGTCCGCGCCCGGGCGGCACCGGCGGCGTGCGGCGCGGACTGGAGATGTTGCGCCGCAAATTACAGGCCGAGCGGGGCTCCCTGACCGGGTGCGCGCCACGCTCGGCACCTCAGCCGCGTCCGCCCACCGGGCCGGCCGCCGGCGCTGAGGCCGCCCGCGGCGTGCCACTGGCCGGTCGGCCGCCGCCGCAGTTCCCTGGTAAACTGGAGCCAGCCGCTGACTGCCCGCTGGATATGACCATGAGCTCGGTGATGGCTGCCGAGCGGGCGCCGGACGCCGCCCGTCTGGACACGCTCGCCGCGCGCCAACAGGCGGCCGCCATCGCAGCGGCGCGTCGCGCCGCACTGGCCGCTCTGGCGTCCGCTCCTAGACGAGCTCCCGGCATCAAGTCTGCCATTAAAGCTGCGTGGCCGCCGCTCCATGCACCGATTGGCGTGGCTGCTGGCGGCGGCGGGTCAGGGGCCGCCCTGTCTGACCGACTGCACCGTCCGACCACCGAGTGTATGTCGCCACTGGCCGGTCTCGCCTCCCTGACCTCCGGCCTGGAGCTGGGTCACGGCAGTGGGGACAGCAGCGGCGGGTGGACCATGCTGGACCGCCTCTCCGTGGTGACAAACGCTCCCATCAATCTGACCGACGCTGACTCCAAGTGGCTGGGCGCCCTGGTCGCGGAGGCGGGCGGCGGTACGCGCACGGCCACCCCGGCTCGCAGCAGGCCGAAGGGCAGTCCCGGCAGGGCCCGCTCGGGCTCTGGGGGCACCCCTCCGCAGAACGGCAGACGTAAGAGCGGCGGACAGAGCAAGGATATGCTGATGAGCCCGCCGGACCGGCCGCTCTCGGTTCAGACTCCAGACGGCTCTCGCCAGCTGTCGCCGGCGGCTGGACATCGCCACCAGTCGCCCTCTCTGCCGAGCCCTCTCGGACAGTCCCCTGTGAGCGCCAGTCCTCAGTTGACACCGTACGGTGGACACAACTCCCCGGCCCCGGCTCATTCCCACTCCGCAGCGGACGCCGCCGCTCGCGCTCACCGGCCACCAGGGATCGTCCCACTGCCAGCGCATCGCTCCTCACCGAGTCCGGCCGTCGGAGGGCCAGGCCCCACCCCGCCGCTCCCGGCGCCGCCGCCTGCCGCGCACCAGCAGAGACCGGTGGGAGGAGCGGGCTCACAGCAGCTGGCCGGGCTGGGCCGCCAGGTGGCGCCGGCCGCGCACCAGCAGCCGCCGGCGGGCGCGGCGCCCCAGCGCCAGTTCGCCGCGGGAGGGTACCAGCAGCACCACCCGCCGGCGGGGTATGTCAGTGGCGCGGCCACGCACCCCCAGCAGCGCGCCACGCCCAGCCCGCAGCAGCAGTATGTGGTGAACGCGCACCAGCAGACAGCCAGTCCGCACCAGCAGCACAGGGCCGCCCCCAGCCCCCACCAGCAGGCGCGTTCCTCGCCGAGTCCTCACCAGCACTCCTCCCCCGGTCCCCACCAGCAGCTGAATCTCGTGTCCAGTCCCCATCAGCGTCCGCAGTCGACTCACAGTCCCCAGCAGCCCCAGTCCACATCCAGTCCTCATCAGCAGTCCACTCCCAGTCCTCATCAGCGCCCATTTTCCTCGCCAAGTCCTCACCAGACCCCTCATTCCACCCCCAGTCCTCAGCAACATCAGTACGCATTCAGTCCTCATCAGCATGGTCAGTCTGCTGTCAATTCGTACCATCAGCAGCAGGGTGCGCCGGGTCTTCATGCACCAGCTCGATATGATGCTTCAGCTCAGCACCAGAGTAGTGCTGTCAATCAGCACCAGCAGTACAATCAGCAGCAACCAGCGCCCAGTCCTCAGCAGTACCGACAGCCGGCACGTAATACTCAGCAGCATCCTTCTGCCCACCAGTACCAGCTGCAATCGCAACAGCAGGCCCAGCAGCAGCAACAGCAGCAGGTCCAACAGCAGCAGCTGCTGCAGGCACAACACCAGCAGCAACGGCAGCAGGTCCAGCAGCAACAGCACCAAGTCCAGCAACAACAACAACCGCAGCAGAGGGCCCAGGAGCAGCAACAGCAGCAGGTCCAACAGCAGCAGCAGCAAGTCCAGCAGCAACAGCAGAGGAACCAGGCCGAACGGCAGCGGCTGCTGGCCGCCAGCGCTCAATTGCAGGCTCTGTTGACCGCCCCGCGGACGCGACCCCTGCACCAACATCTGTTACAGCAGCAGCAGCAGCAGCAGCAGCAGCAGCAGCAGCAGCAGCAGCAGCAGCAGCCGCAGCAGTCGCAGCCGCAAAGGATGCAGCTGCCCTTCCAGCCCCAGCAGCAGCAGGACCTGGCTGGCCTGGGCGGCCTCTCCTCCGCCCCCTCAGTGGCCGCCCAGCAGTCGCCTGTCCTCAGCAAACCGCCGCAGCCGGCTCCGCTGCCCGTATCGGCCACCCACCAGCTGCAGGCGCGGCTGGGTGAGCAGGGACGGGCGTCTCCGGCGGGTGGCTCGCCCGGCGGTCACCTACCAGGCGCCCTCTCTGCGGAGATGGTCGGTCAGATGTCCGGATATCAGTCTCCGGTGAACGCGAGTCTCAGGCGACAGCTCCCGGCGCCGGCCAACTCGTACCGGCAGACACCGACGCAGGGTGTGGGTTCAGTGCAGGGACTGAGGGCAGACCAGCTGCAGGCTCAGCACACAGCAGGGCAGGTGTCTGGTCAGTCTCCAGCGCATCTACAGGGTCAGTCATTGACTCAGACTTCGCTTGGTGTCTTCGGCACTCATCAGCAGCCGCCTCAGACGGCAGGGGACTTCCTACAGCAGCAGGCCATGAACAGTTCCAACCACCATCTACCGACCAGTGTCGCGACGCCTCAGCCGACAGCAGGTGTAGTTAAACACCAGCAGATGCCATCTGGACTTAACTCTGCCGGCCAGCCAATGACTCCCTCAGCCCCCGCTACCACCACGCCGGTCGCTGCCGCCCCCACACTGCCAACTACCTTACCTGGTGGTCCGACAACTCCCTCAGCTGTGCCGACCCCGGCCGGAGCAGCGACTCCTGCGGCCAAACCACCTCGTCGGCGTCGCCCCCCACCGGCCGGTGGCGGACGGGCGGCGAAGAAGCGGCGCACAGATGGGCCAGTTGATGGTGCCGGCGGTGCTGGAGCCGGGAATGGCGGCGGTGGTGACACTGGTGGTGGTGCTGTTCTGAGTGGTGGTGGTGGTGGTGCTGTGCCGAGTGGCGGCGGTAGCGGTGGTGCCGGCGGTGGTAGTGTGACGATTGATGGCGGAGGCGGAGCAGGCGATGGCCCGGCCGGTGACGGCGCAAACGACGGCGGTATCAGTGTCATGGAGGTACTACAGGCCATGAACGACCCCGGCGGCAGCGGCGGCCAGCCGGAGACCATCACACTCTACCGGTCTCAGGAGCCGGCCGCGGGTGCGAGCGAGCCGGGCGCGGCTCAGACGCTGACTCAGCAGCCGCCGGCCGGTCAGCAGCCGGCGCCGGCTAAACAGCCCCGTCAGCGCCAGCGTCAGCAGCCGCGGCAGCGGGCTCAGCAGCGTCAGCAGCCGCAGCCGCAGCCGGCGGCCCCTCAGCAGCAGGGCACAGCCGCTCCACAGGGTCAGGTGAGTTAGTGAGCTGCATGGCTAAGGGGTGAATAATCAGACGTATTGCCAAGGTTTCGTATTGTCATTTCTTTCGTCAAGAACGTATTGTGGAAGTTTTCAGACTCAGCCCTGTACTACACAGCATTGATAGCGTAATTGTGTATGTCCATCGTCATTCAGTCATTTTTTTGTGTCTTCATCTTTCCATGAATATTCCGTTGTGTGTTGTTTCTCGGAGTGATTGCTAAATATATATTATGGACAATTTATCGCGCATCCTTCAGCTCGTCCGGCCAGGCACATTTAAAACCGGTCAGGTAAAGGCGTGTGGTTTGACACGGCTCGTTTTATTCCAGGCCCTGTCCACTCCGAGCGGACCGCGGCTGGCGGAGCAGCTGCGTGAGTTTGAGAGCGTGCTGGAGGCAGTGGTGACGGGTCAGGACCGCCCGGACCCGCCGCCCCCTCGGCAGCCGCCGCCGACCCCCGCGCGCGCCGCGCCGCCGCCTCCCCCGCCTCCCGAGGCCATAGAGGAGGACGACCAGACCCGGAACCGGATCGTGGCTATCCTGCAGCAGTACCGGCGGGACCTGGCGGCTCAGCCGCGCGCGCCGCCGGCCGCCGCCCGCGCCCGTACCGCCCAGCCGGCCGGCGGCGGCTGGCAGGCGGGCTCCGGCGCCGGCGGTGGCGGTCAGCCGACTTCGCTGCACGTGGTGTCGGTGCCTGCCCCGGCGGGCGGCGCGGCCGGCGGCGGCTGGGGCCAGCAGCAGCAGCAGCCCGGCTGGGCCGGCCAGCAGCCGCCGGCACCGATGGCTGGCTGGCAGCCGCCGCCGGCTGGCCGGACGGCGTCGGTACTGCCCGGCCCGCCGGCGCCGGCGCCGACCGGTCACTCCGGACCGGCCCAGCCACAGGCGACCGGCGGCGGCTGGATCCGCGCCGGGGGTCAGACGTTACAGCTGGCCGGGGTACCGGGGCACCTGCAGCAGAGACCCGGCCTGGCCGACCTCTCTCAGCACGCCGGTGAGTGTTGTGTAGCGTGTGATGACCCGGTACCAAACTGATGCTGAAACTCGGCCGGTTCGTGGTGTGGGTGGGATGGGGGGGGGGGGCTTTAGGACGTAAGCGCTAGCTTTGTCGCTTGTTCTTCTGGTCGTTTGCACAATATCTGGTTTCTGAAAGCACCGCAAGTAGTTCATATAACACGTTTATGTTCCCGTGGGATTAGTTATGAGTCTGCCTTTGATTGACATATCCTCTGTTGAGCTAACATCCAGCTTTGCTGGTGTTGTGTAACAGTTCTTACGCAATTTGACAACTGCTGAAATCTTAGATAAATCCAGCCACAAACCTTCGTGATTGCAAAAAAAGATCGCCGCAGCAGCCATGATACTTCGTCTACCTTACCTTTTGCAGCCTGTGTGCTATATTGCGGCCATCGTATTCTGCTTGTTCCCTCGCTAGTAATATTTATATTCATGTCAGTTATCTATGTCTACTCTCGTTTAGTGGATGATAACAGTTAGTACCCAACATTTGATAACCTTCTCTCTCGTCCACAGCTGTCGACGGCACTACCCTGCACACTGCCGCGTCTGTGGGTGAACCACCGCTCTCCGCCGGTATCTCCTGGTCTAGCGACACCGACCGCGGTCTGCCAGACTCCCCAGCCAACGGCCCGGGTCTATCCACCGGCGCCCTACAGACAGGCCGCGGCTCTCTGGCTCTCCTGACCGCCCGGCCGGCCCGCGCGGCCCGGCTGACTGACCTGAAACGGTCTCTGGCCCCGCCACCGGCAGTGTTGTCCCCGCCGAGTCGGCGCTGGAGCCGGGCGGCGCGACCGGTGGTGGCGAGACAGCCTCGCGTTACCCTGAGACCGCCGTCCTGCAGGAGGCGAAGGCGGATCCTGAGAGACAAGCGTAAAGCTGAGAGGGATCAGTCGCAGAGTTCTGGCGACAGTGAGCGTCTAGCGCGGAGAACACTGCCTCGTCAAGTCCGAGATGGGTCGGACAGTCGTGAGATGTGTGTCACAGTACGGGTGGGTGTAGAGAAACAGCAGATGGAGTCTGAAGTTGACTCGAGTGTAGCGGTTGTGCCAGAGAGGAGAGTGGCAGAGGCCGTGGAAGCGGCGGCGAGTAAGACGCCCGACAGGGAGGCTGATAGGCTAGAGGAAACGGAGGGTGACTATGGGTCAGTTGAGGAGCCCGCGGCGGAGTCGCAGCGGCGCCCATCCCCGCGAGATGATGAGGGTAGGTAGAATAGCTTGGTGGCAGATTTACCCCCCCCCCCCCAGCTGAGTACCTATGTGTTGCGGCTGGCAATATTTGCCACCACACCGCGCTGTATAGGTGCCACTCTACGTACTTTATAATTTGTGGGTGTTCTAGATGAGATTGTGTAAAATGACATTTGTGGGGATGGTTTGGGTACGGTCATTTATGGACTGCCTGTAGCGGTGTTTATATGATAGTGTAGATTGTAGCTTAGACTGAACAGCCATTGAGACGTTCAAGTGTACACGATATGCAAGCCTCGTGACTGATGCAATATTTTGGAAATTATCAAGTTATTCAAGAGTACACCGTTTTATATTTATTTTGCTTGTGTTGGTTGTGTGAAATAGTGTCGATGTTAATTAAGATGAAACTGTTCTTATCGTCCCGCTTCCATGCCATTGCCAGTGTCATCGATTGTCTGGACAAAAATGTCGTCTGCACATGACATTCGGTGAGAGACATTGCCTGCTTTATAGCATCATTCCATGTGTGTTTAATATGGCCTATGATAAAATTGACAAACTGTTACTGTGTGTTAAGAACTGCGATTCAGCACAATGGGTAGTACCGTCTTTGGGGACTCGTCACTGGGATCGTTAATGAGCATATGCCTAGAATAATTTAGATTCAAACGGTGGAAGCTGGGCCTTCCCGTGTGCGACCCCATTTTAATCAAGTAATACTTGTCGGCATCAGAAACTTGCAGTGAGGCCGGCAATATCAGAAATGATGTGAGTGAATAGTCGAGAGTCGGGATGGGGCGTTCGTGGGCGGGTGGGTTTTTTCGTGAACCTGTGACGATTCAAATTACTGAGCAATGACGCTAGTATTACACTAAACACCACACAGTGTACTGGGCTCGATGCAACTGACATCAAAATTTACACCTCTGAGCTAAGTCTGGCTACGAATACATGAGCAGGTAAAGGCGCATCAGGAACGGACTTTCCCATTCGTTCAGCTTTGTGATAAGTTTGTAATGCGCATTTACTTTGCTCGCGTATCCCCGGTCAGTGGCATGCTTTCCGGTTCTACTGCACACCTCGTCCTCAGGTTACCACCTGCTTTATAGCGTCGGACTCGGATTTGTGAGAGGCCGGGTTCGAGTCGCTCCGGCGCGCGCTCGATAGGATGGCCCACGGGGATAGCCTCCTGACAGGGGTGGCCCATGAATACAACTCCCGCCACGGCCGAGGGGGTGTTCGTTCCACCACCTCGCCCTGAGCTTTTTCGCAGCTATCTCAAAATGCGCCTTTTCCGCACAGAAGTAAACATTTCAGACCGGGGTCGCTCAAAGTGAAGTCACCAGGGCACGTCAAGAGAACTCACCTCAGAAAAGTTAGAACGCTCGTCCTATAGCTACACCGACTGAACGATCGCCTTGAAACGCCGGCGTCCATTTAGTGCTTCTCGAGGGCTAGTACTGAGTCAGTTGCAGTCTGCAGTTGCAAATAACAGATAAATCTTGGGGATCTTGGATCATACAATTTTGATATTGCATAGGATCTTCGGGATCTTGGATCCTGGAAGTTTGAGCTTGCGCGGGATCTTGTGGATTTTCGATCCTACAATTTTGATACTGCTTGGGATCTTCGGGATCTTGGATCCTGGAAGGTTGAGCTTGCGCGGGATCTTGTGGATCTTGGACCCTGAAATTTTGATTTTGCGTGGGATCCTGGGAATCTTGAATCTTGCAATTTGATTTTGTGTGGGATCTCAGGGATCTTGGATCCTGAAATTATGAAATTGTGTGGAATCTTGCGGATCTTGGATCTTGATTTTTGGTCGAGGCACAAGTCTGAAGGCGGCTCTTTTGCACAAACGTCTTTCTAAACACTCTTAACCCTCACCCCTATAGGGGGGTCGAACGGACCCCCGTCGGTTTTTCGCGAATAACTCGCGTAAAAAGCGGCTGATTTCGACGAAACTTTCAGTACCCTCGTGTTAATCAATTTTACACCTACCCTGAAAATTTCATGACCCTGACCCAAATGACCTTTGACCTGTGACCTACTTTTCGAGACCATGTTTGGCCGGAATCGCGATTCGGCGTATGTCGGCTCGCTTTAGCCGCGCGTTTGCAGTCTTTTCGTGGTTTCAAGCGTTCAAACATGTAATACATGATGTTGGTCCCATGCATTAGGGTGCAAGTGTCAAGGCCACATGAAGGTCAGGTCGGGTCATTGGCTTTTGATGACCTCGGTTCACTTTTTCGAGTTTTACATGTTATTAGGCCAGTTTTTGGAGCCGAATTCGAATTTAGCAACCATGATGAACATTTACGAAGTAGTTTTGGTGCCTTTGTAACATGTTCGAAGCTCATATCTAAAAAGTTAATTGTTTTCAAAACGGGCTTCCGCTGTACCGCTGCCTGAGGCTGATCAATGTGTACGCATGTACAATGTCAGTTATGTTCGTTCCGCACGTGTACCTACGAACATAACTGAGTCACTGACACATTCAAGTTTCAGATATGTGGCGCCCTCCTTGTTGTTGGCGCCCTCCTTGATTGGCGCCCTCTCGTCCAATGCCCTGGTCCTTCGCAAATTCCTGGGTACGCCACTGAGGTACACTGGTTGACCTGACCTGACCCGACCTGGCCTAAATGCATGAAGACTTTATCTGTGACATGGATGAGAGATATATGGATGCGAGTCTCGGCGTCGGCCCCTTTGATGTCAGCGACCAGCGCGGCCACCTAGCGGCCAACAGATGAACTAAACCTAGCCACGACGCGCGGTGGGCCGCAGTGTAAAGCGTAATGACGGGGATATGTTCCGCGAATATTTTTAGGCGTTTTGGGTTGAAAAATGTTACAACATGGCACAAGTGATGCCCATATCTGTTTTCTGATCATTTACAAACCAAGTCCCAGTATAATACGGACGGGAGTTGGAAGAGGAATTGGATGGGCTTGGCTTGCATGCTCCCCCTCACCCGCCACTCAAAATCTGCAGTGGGCACAGAAAGCCCGAAAAGACGTTCAGTGATTGATCATGATCAATTAGTTTGTTCATTGTATCCTTTGACGATAATACACTTACGATACGCCAGTCAGCCCAGTCATTTGGACACGAGATTCGTCTCTCCGTCCGCGGAGAGCGCGCCTCACGCACCCACACACTGACACAAACGGCCCGAGCTCAGCCCACGCGCAGGACGGCGGACGCCCGATCCAGTGTGGAGTCCATACCGGTCCACGATCGTGCCACTCGGTTGCAGATGGTTCGCGAGACCGTCGCTGGGGCCTGGCGGAGTCCCGAATACAGCCACTGGAGCCGCGAGGCGCCGCAGTGCGGCCCAGCAACACGGGAGCGGTGCAGCACAGGGAAACGGGAGCGGCTGGCTCCCGTTTCATCTCTAATCACTGTCATCTCGCCCGCACACGGCGACTCTCGACGGCAGCGCGCATCACCCCATTACGCCGCACATCAGCCCAAGACGCCGCACCCCGACCGATGACGTCAGAAATCATCCCATGACACACCACACACGTGGGGACTGACAGCGGAGGTCGAACCGCCAGCGACACCCTCAGTACA